GTATTATTTCTGAGGGCTCTGTTCTGTTCCATTGGTTTATATCTCTGTTTTGGTACCAGTACCATGCTGTTCAAAACAGCCTTGTAGTATAGTTTGAGGTCAGGTAGTGTGATGCTTCCAGCTTTGTTCTTTTGGCTTAGGATTGACTTGGCAATGTGGGCTCTTTTTTGGTTCCATATGAACTTTAAAGTAGTGTTTTCCAATTCTGTGAATAAAGTCATTGGTAGCATGATGGGGATGGCATTGAATCTATAAATTACTTTGGGCAGTATGGCCATTTTCACATTATTGATTCTTCCTATCCATGAGCATGGAAAGTTCTTCCATTTGTTTGTGTCTTCTTTTATTTCATTGAGCAGTGGTTTGTAGTTCTCCTTGAAGAGGTCCTTTACATCCCTTGTAAGTTGGATTCCTAGATCTAGAAGCCCACTTCCAGCTTCAAGTTGTCCTGCCTTTGCTTTGAGTTGTCCCGCCTTTTCTGGACCAAATCCATGTTCATCTTACATATGTTGATTGATGTCTCATGTCTCCCTAAAATGTATAAAACGAAACTGTGAACTGACCACCTTACACACATGTTGTCAGGACTTCCTGAGGCAGTATCACTGGAGCGTCCTCAACCTCGGCAAAATAAACTTTCTAAATTAACTGAGACCTGTCCCAGTTTTTCAGGGTTCACATTTGGTAATCATGAAGGGATTCTGAGTGGATATGCCCCTGACCTTTGATAAATATCCTGTTGGTGCCTGGTAATAGCATGAGCTAACTTTATGATTCAAACCAATAGGACAATTTGCTGAGGTCTGGGAGCACCCACCGCAAAGAATCCCTGATCTCCCAAAATTTGGTGAAGATCTAAAGTTTATTTTGCTGTACAACTCCCCCACCTATTTTTGTTTTTGGAGTTTTATTTGCTTACTTGCCATCCTGTACAAGGAAGGCAAGATTAGCTTTTACTTCCTTTATAAGGAAGGCAAGATTTACTTTTACTTCCTTTACAAAGAAGGCAAGATTTCCTGCTTCCATGATGATGAAAGGCATGTAGCGTTTGAGCTCACTCCCAGCAGGGAAGACCAGTTTTAGTGCTTTTCCTGCTTCTACGGTGGTAGAAAGCAGTCTTCAGCCTGAGACCCATCCCTAGGTAAGTAGCTGAACTGGGGCTTTGTCTTGGCTAAAGTTTAACAACCTGCTGGTCTTAATTTCTCCTTATCATTAGAGTGCTTGGTGATCCTATTGCTGGATTTTTTGTTGGTTGTTTTGGTCTTTCTCCCATCAGACTTAACCAAGTCTACCTGACTTGGTCAAATCCAAGTGAGAATTCAAAATTATGGGTAACAAAGCCTCTCTAATTTGGCCAAAATTCCTTGCAGCTGCGAAAGAAGAAAACAAACAAAAAGAACCAAAAAAACATGCACTTGGTTTCTGTGTTTGCTTCCTGTCTTAAAAAACAAATGTTCTTTTATTTACTTTTCTTCCACCCTATACCTCTTTCCCTCTTTGCCATCTGCAGTACCAACAAATCTAGAGAAGTCTTCTAATGACTTGAACCCCCTTAAAGAATTCAGAACAAAGTTGCCACTCACCCCTTTTGGGGTGTTTCGTTTTCTTTGTGGAGTTTCAAGAGTCATGGGTAGATTCTTCTTAAGTCTAAACCTCTGCTTTCCTGTATTGCATGACCTGACCTCTTTGGCTTTGACCTTGCTGTGTGTAATAGTAGATGAGAGCCACAAAGTTAAGGGGTGGCTGAGCGCAGTTTACAAAAAGTGGTCTTGGCTGTTGTTTTGTTTTCCTTCTAGGAAGTTGCTATTTAAGGATCCTAATTCTAGTTCAGAGATGCATTCTAAAGTGTCTTCTCTGTTGCTTTTTCTCCCCAAATTAAGCTCTATTCAGCTTGTCTGTGTGTATTTGCATGAGGAACTGAACTGTTATTTTCAGTGGTGACCCAGTGTGGAGTCCTGCCCACAAGCAGCACATATTGATCCACCACAGAAAACCTCTAGGCCTCAGCTCAGTTCCTCTTTTTAAGAAGAAAACTGGGAAACAAATAATCTAAGAATGAGGAGAAAACAAGGAGAATGACCCCCGTTCGAGCACTCCATAGGTTTTATGGAACCTGGTCTTTTCATAGTTTATGTAAAATGGAAGTAATCAGGTCTTTGTGCACATTTATCTTAAGAAAAAGGAGCCCATGTAAATCAGTTCAACCATTGTGGAAGACAGTATGGTGATTCCTCAAGGATCTAGAACCAGAAATACCATTTGACCCAGCAATCCCATTACTTGGTATATACCCAAAGGAATATAAGTCATTCTACTATAAAGACACATGCACTTGTATGTTTATTGCAGCACTATTTACAATAGCAAAGACATGGAAACAATCCAAATGCCCATCAATTATAGACTAGATAAAGAAAATGTGGTGCACATACAGCATGGAATATGATGTATCCATAAAACGGAATGAGATCATGTCCTTTGCAGGGCCATGGATTAAACTGGAAGCCATCATCCTCAGCAAACTAACACAGAAACAGAAAACCAAATACCACATGTTCTCACTCATAAATGGGAGTTGAACATTGAGAACACATGGACACAGAGAGAGGAGCAACACACATCAGGGGTTGTTGAGGGGTGGAGAATGAGGGGACGGAACTTAGAGGATGGGTCAATAGGTGCAGCAAACCACCATGGCACACATATACCTACGTAACCTGCATGTTCTGCTGCACATGTATCCCGTTTTTTTCTTTAGAAGAGAAAGAAAGAAAGAAAAAGAAAGGAAGAAAGGAAGGGAGGGAGGGAGGGAGGGAGGGAGGAAGGAAGGGCCTTATAGTCGACCTGCAAACTACAGAGTTCCTAAGTTCTCTTTTTTCTCTATTTCTTTTCTGCCTTCATTAAATATGCACTTATTTTTCTATTAAGATAAAAACCACTGTTTGGATACAACAGGTTTTTTGTTTGCAAGCTGGTGAATTTGTATTTATCTCATGGCTAAAGTTCTGAAGTAAAAGCTATAGGATTTGTGTGTGTGTGTGTGTGTGTGTGTGTGTGTATTTAAAGGGTCTTTATAATTTTTATAATTTTATGTTTAATTGGCAATTAAATCCATTTTAATTTCCCTCTAGCACCACCAGACTTTTTTCTCTCTGTACCTTATGATATAAATTTAGCTATTTCATTTTTCCCTGAGTTGTTTCCTTTAATATGCAAACTTAAGGCTACTTAGCTGACAACTCCCTAGGGGAGTAAAACAGGTTATTGAGAATTTGAAAGTCTAAGATAGGGGAAGAAAGCACCTTAAGAATCTATAAGAGGTACTTCTATCAACATGCCTACTACGTCTATATATTTATATGTTGTGTACACAATGTCTCACTACTGGAAATATATAAAAGAGCTCTAATTAATTGGCTTAAAAAAGCACTTGAATCAAGTACTTTATCAGGAACAAAGAAAAGATTAGTAGAATGCTTTCTAAGTTTATGTAACGTAAGTAAAATCTTTAATAAATAAGTTAGCTTTAAAATTATTGGTACAGTAATAATAGAGGTGTCTTAAGAATTTCCAGCATGCATTTTTGTTTGCATTTATTAATCAAGCCATTTCATGCTTATCCCTGTCAAATACTATAAGGTGTCAAAATTTGGCATGGGGTTACAAAACTATAATAGAATGATCTTTGATTGTGTAATCTTTAATAAATAAGACATTGATATCTGTTTAAAAAAATAGCCACATCTTGAATTTAGTCAGATTACCGTAACTTCTAATCTTGTGGCTTTTGGTGGTCTAGTCCACAGGCAGTAAGATTTGTTTTGGGAATGAACTGTTATACTCTTTGTTTCAAAGGTAAACTATGAACTATGTTCCTCTCAAAGTTTGTTCATCCTGTGCCCCGGATTGAACAAGAACAGCTTGGAGGATAGAAGCAAGATGGAGTCAGTTAGGTCAGATCTTTTTCACTGTCTCAGTTGGGCACATGTCTTCAGAACCTCCTGAGGCTGTGTCACAGGTGTACATCCCCAACCTTGGCAAAATAAACTTTCTAAATTAACTGAGACCTGTCTCAGATTTTCGGGGTTCACAAGGCCATACCGACTTGTCCCTTGTTTGAAGCCCAGCAGGCGCCTTTCACAGCAGGCTCTTTTCACTTGCACCTTTGTGCATCAGCACCTAACTCTTTTGCAAGATAAGGAGCCCTACAGAATACCAGCAGACCACCAGAGGGTTACAAGTCCCTGATACCTAGTACAGCCTGGAAAGAGAGCAAAAGCCTGATGTAGCTTCCCCAATCTCCAGCCAATTTGCACCAAAAGCCCAAGAAACTCTTAACTACAAGTTCCTTCCTGGGGTGGGGTGTGTGGGAGGGTGGGCAGGGACTTCTCTGGGGTCCTGCATGCACAGCTAGGCTCGAGGTTCAGCTTATAGTAACCTTTGCCTCATTTTAACAGTAAAAACAGCCACAACAAGAAAAACACCCCTAGGTGGAGATTTTATATGCTAATCATCCATGCGATCGGTGTTAGACCATGTGGTGGATACTGAGCACATGTGCCAACCGCAGGTCTGCTTTTGCATACATGACCTCACCAGTATTTTATGATTATATATGTATAGCTCTCATGAAAGGAATTCCTCTTACAGCACTAGATGCTGTCTCTCCCACTGAGAAGCCCACTCTGTGTTTCAGACAGATACCAGGTTACTGTGATATCCTAAGTTCTAAAATCATGGATGAACTTATAAACAGCAATACTGGGGGCTTTACCGATCCGAAAGCATTCCATTTATCAAATTGAAACAGTGAAAAGCTTCTATTTTATTGTAGTTGATCTGTGACATTGGAGCAGTTTGGCACTATGAGTTCACACCTGAAGTCTTACTTTGGAATCATGCTTTGAGAATCCCCTTCTACTGCATTCCCACCTCACCCCCATGAATCAGAAAACTCAGTGAAAGTAATCACAAAAAATACAAAAAACAATAATAAAAGATTTCTACATGAAAAGTTTAATAAAATATATTTTGTGAACACAATAAAGAACTAATAAAATAGAAAAATGCTGGCAAACGTGATCAAACAGAAAGGCAAAGAGAGAGCAGGGAGAAAGCAGGAGAGCATGGGAGGCGGAGCCTCCTACCTTTGCAAGAGGAAAGAATGACTGAATGGCTGACAGACAAATAATATGTTTGATAGGGAGATAATGTCTACCTCATTGGGAAGGATACTCTATCGGCTCAAAATGATTTAAAAAATGAGGAATTTAGAGGATTGGAATCATTTCTTAGCTAGTGAATTACAAATTAATTCACATTTGGTGCCATGACTGGAAGAAAAAGAAAGCAAGGGAGGGAGTTTACAATGAACCAGAATGTTCTCACAGAGTCAGCGGGATGGTGATGGGCTCATTGGAAACAACCCTGCTGAATGACATCAACCCCACTCCATGTGTCCTCATAGCCACACAGAAGAAGGGTCTACATCTGTGGGCCAGTGGTGAAGGGGGAGGTGAGCCAGGGCAGGGGGCTCAGCAGCAAGAGGAGGCGCAGCACAAGGGGCGGGGGCAGGTGGAGATGACACAGGTTGGGCGATAGCAAGTGGTGTGGCAGGAGACTCGGCCACAGACTGGACGCAGGCAGCAGCAGGGGCGGCAGCAGCTGGATTCACAGCAAGAGGGGCGGCAGCAGCTGGAGATGCAGCAGCTGGGGCGGCAGCAGGTGGGCTGGCAGCACACAGACTGGCAACACCGGGGCCTGCAGCAGCTGGACACACAGCAGCTGGGGCGGCAGCAGGTGGTCCTGCAGCAGGTGGTCTGACAGCAGCTGGGGCGGCAGCAGGTGGGCTGACAGCACACAGACTGGCAGCACTGGGGCCTGCAGCAGCTGGACACACAGCAGCTGGGGCGGCAGCAGGTGGTCCTGCAGCAGGTGGTCTGGCAGCAGCTGGGCTGACAGCACACAGACTGGCAGCACTGGGGCCTGCAGCAGCTGGACACACAGCAGCTGGGGCGACAGCACGTGGTCCTGCAGCAGGTGGTCTGACAGCAGCTGGGTCTGCAGCAGGACTCCTGGCAGAGGTCTTGGCCACAGCCCTGGTCAGAGCACACAGAGCCACAACAGGAATTGACCATGGTGTCAGAGGGTGAAGGATCTACTTGGGTTTCCAGGAGAGTGAAGTTCTTGTGTTTGGAAGTCTCCTGGGTCCATATCCCCTTTATACCCTCCTGAAGGCCCATTGCCACCACGTCATTATTTCCTTGTTATTATTTACCTGCTGGAAAAATTCATCATGTAATTACATAATTGTGTGTGTCTAGTTAAATACTCCAAAACTGAGAAAATAACCCATTTCCTTTTCCTGCTGTGCTCCTGCGTTTCCTTTGGAAATGCTCGTCATATTTCTTCCTTAGTGAGGGGTCACCTTTGTCCCTGGTCTATGCTGTGTCTTTTACAAAGCATCTTTTACTGGTCACAGGACTTTCTGACATTTTGTTTTTAATTGTGACTCTCCCTCCTACCTGTCGATTGCTGTCTGCAAATCATGGGGGACGATTTTTATAATGTGAATGTATCTTGTGTTGTCCAAGAATGTCCTGGTCAGGTGAAATGTTGGAAAGGGATTAGAAGGTAGGACTCATCTGGGGAAGGAAGTCCCATCTGTAATGAAGATGACTCTGATCCCGTGTGTGCATCTTGGATGGTGGGGTAGATGGTCAGATTCCAACAAGTTCTAAATTCTTTGTCAGATCTTATTCCACAGCCTCCAGTGAAAGTATTTACCCATGACTCACTGCCTTTAAAGGGTAAAAACACATTTTGCTGTATGTCTTACAGTATAGGCATTAAGAGTAGGAAGTTTTTATTTACCTTTTCTTTTTGTTTTTTTGTTTGTTTGTTTGTTTGTTTGTTTTTGACAGAGTCTCACTCTGGAGTATAGTGGCATGATTTTGGCTCACTGCAACCTCCACCTCCTGGGTTCAAGCGATTCTTCTGCCTCAGCCTTCCTAGTAACTGGGACTACAGGTGTGCGCCACCACACCCAGCTGACTTTTGTACTCTTAGTAGAGACAGGATTTCACCATGTTGGCCAAGATGGTCTGGATCTTTTGACCTTGTGATCCGCCCGCCTTGGCCTCCCAAAGTGTTGGGATTGCAGGCGTGAGCCACCGTGCCCAGCCTGATTAATCTTTGATCATCAAAATTGCATGATGGGTTTTTCATTTACAAAAGCATTTGTTATATATAAAGAATATTTAGAATTATTAAGGCTTCAATAACATGCATCCAAGATGTTCTACTGGGTACTCTGGGTGTAGAACAGACAAACCCTCACCTTTTTCTTGCAGGTACTTGCATAAGACACTTAGATAGGAAACAGAGTTCAGCAGAAATGAGAAGAATTACAATTATTTTCATTAAATAACTAAAATAAAAAATGTATAGTATGTGGATAAGTTCCATACACCCTCAGGGTATGTATATTACTTGTGAAGTATTGATTACGTAGGAGGCATTGTATCAAATATCTTATATCTGTTTCATTTTCACGCTTGAATACGACCTTATGAACTAGTTTATATTCTTATTAGTCTTTTAGGGGGATAGTCAAAAGAAGCATTAAAAAGTTAAAGCAAACAAACAGAAAACTTGTCCAAGATTAAAGAGAAAGCCTAGTATGTCTTAGTGTAGCCAAGACAGCGGTAAAGAATAAAATTTGCTAAGCTTGCAGAAACTGTTTTATCTTTGGAACGTTTCATCTTTTTTATCCACTCTGCACACTCCTACTCACGTGTCAAGACCCAGTTAAAATATTTCCTCCTCAATAATATCTTTCTTGATAAGCTAACCCATTCATGTATCACTATTTCCTGCCTTGTGCTCATAATTTGATACATTCTACTGTATCATAGTCATTTACTCCTGTCATTCCACCATGTGCAATGCAAATACCCTGAAGCCATGGGCTATGGCATTTATTCTTATTACTATGATACTCAGCACAGAGAACACTGGAGGTAAATATTTGTTGAGTGAATGAAGGCTTTTTGATGACATAGAGTCATATAAGGTCCTTTAAAAATGTACATATCTTTTGACTTCTGGATAAAAGAGAGGAAAGCATTCCAAACAAAGAGATCATAGTTTAATTTCAGGAAGACTAAACTCATTTATGTGGTAGGTAACATGTCACCTGATAAACAACCTATGTGGAAAGTTGTGGAAGTTAACAGTCAATTTGTAGAATGAGACTTGTTTATAGATAACCAGGACTACAGTGTTTAACATGCATGCCTATATTCACACAGTAAAAAGACAGGAAGGTGGTAAACACCAAATGGTAGGACTGATTCTCCTTTACCTCCTGACTTCCTCGTTTTACTCTTATTAATTGAAATAACTATTATTTCCAGTTTGATATCAGCCAGCCAAAAATATTTGCTGATCATCTGTTGTCTTAGCTTAAATTCTACCCAATGCCAACCTTGAGAAAAAGACTTGAGTGCACATAATTTATCTGGGGGATGATCCCAGGAAGCACAAGTGAGGAAATGGTGAAAGTAAGACAGGAAAGATAGAAAATCCCAAGTATGTTTGTGTTAATGGTAGGGCCCCCACTGTGGGCAGCTGGGGACGAACACCGGGGAAAGGCCTGAAGCTGGAGGCACTTGGCCACCATGATTGCACACCTACAAAATCCTGGAGAGTCAGCTGGGTATTAGTATTAATCATGAGATCAGATAAAATACAAACTTATACTAACTTGTAGACTTTTTATACACTAGCAATAATTCTTTCTAAAATTTAATGGAGAGAAATCACACACTGGGGCCTATTGTGGAGTGTGGATGTGGGGGAGGGATAGTATTTGGAGAAATACCTAACGTAAATGACGAGTTAATGGGTGCAGCACACCAACATGGCACATGTATACATATGTAACCAACCTGCACGTTGTGCACATGTACCCTAGAACTTAAAGTATAATAAAAAAAAATGTGCTCACAATTCTCAAGAGTAAATAGAAAAATATGTAAATAAATCTGCCAAGCCTATATGAAGGAAAGTGTTAACATTTCCTGAAAGATATAAAATAATGTTTGAATAAATGTCAGAACAAGTGAGGTGCAACCAAAGCCAGGTTTTCAAATAAATACATACATGTGTTACACATGCATTTAATGAGGTTGTATCTCAATTTGTAACATTAGGTATTGAATGGAATCAGCAAAGACCATGATGGGAAACTTACTTTTGGTCACATTCTTTCGTATCGTCTAAATGTTTAAAGAGCATATATTTGTGTGTAAATGATACAAAAATCCTTAGAAAATAATAAATATGATTTATAAAAATTCATAATTTTTTCTACAGATTCTGTTAAATATATTTTCTGCTCTTTTGTTTACATTCTTATTTCTTTCATGAACTAAAATATTAAAAGTACATTTCAGTCAGTCATCTGAGCTCTCAAATTAGCTATCATGAATTTCACATTGTTCTGGGGGACAGGCTGCGTTCCCCAGGAAGCAGACACTGAGATGGAGAGCAACATGCAGGAGGTTTATTGAAGCATGTTCTTGGGATTAACACTGGGGAGAGGAGGGGAGGGAAGGGGAGGGAAAGGGAGGAGAGGAGAGGGGAGGGGAGGGGAGGGGAGGCAAGGGGAAAGGGAGGGAAAGGGAAAGGGTAAGGGAAACTGAAGGAAAGGGAAAGGGAAGGGGAAAGGAAAGGAAAGGGAAAGGGAAGGGAAGGAAAGGGAAAGGAAGGGAAAGGAACGGATGCGAAGGGAAGGGAAGGGAAGGGAAAGGAAATGGAGAGAAAGATCAGTGTTGACACTAAGATAAATGAAACTGCAGGGCAATCTCAGTGGAAGTCTCAGACGAACCTACAGGGAGTTCTGGAGATGAGATGACCCACTAAAGGCACCCCTAGTTGGGGAGAAATGCGAGTCTTTATAGTTCCATCCTAAAAACTGGGCATGACTTTGGACGAAAAGAAACAAAAATCAGTCTCCAGCATACCTATGAGTTTTCACCAGGTGTGCTTCCTTCATTTCCATCACCTGCCTGGCCCTGAAGGTGGTCCCCTCTACATGGCAGCATGAACTCCCCACTGAAACTCTGCCAGTCAGAATGAAGCACATCCACTGTGTTTGTGTTGAGGTTTCATTGCACATGACTCAGTAAAAAATACATGGACTATGCTAAATCACCTATTAGCTGCTTTTACTGGCAAAAAGAAGAAGAAGAAGGAGAAGGAGAAGAAGAAGAAATTGAAAGACAGTCTTTTAAAAGATCACAGCTCTCTTCACAATAGTAAAGACATGGAATCAGTCTGGGTGCCCATCAATAGTGCATTGGATAAAGAACATGTGACATCTTCACACCATGGAATACTACACAGCCATAAAAAAGAATGAAATTATGTCCTTTGCAGCAACATGGAGGTGGCTGGAGGACTTATCTTAAGCAAATTATTCCAGGAACAGAAAACCAATATTGCATGTTCTCACTTACAAATGGAAGCTAAACATTGGGTACACATGGACACAAAGATGAGAACAATTGGGGACTCCAAAAGGGGGGAGAGAGGGAGAAAGAAAGGGCTAAAAATGACCCATTGCTCACTACCTGGTGACAGAATCATTTGTACCCCAAACCTCAGCATCACACAACATGTAACAAATATGAATATGTACTCTTTGATTCTAAAATAAAAGTTGAAATTGTTTTTTAAAAGAGAATGAATTGTGTTCAATCTTTCCAGAACGTTTCCCCTGTTGTTACATTCATGGATATTTCATGACTTCAGCTTCACTCTTTTTGTCTAAAGACTACAAAATGACTAACTGATTTGACTAAACCTGAAAAGACTTTTCTAGAAAAAAACTAGGCAGTGATCGATGTCAGTTGACCTCTGTTGGAAGTTTGACTAATCTGTGCTGTCTGCCCTACAGGAGTAGTTAAATGTAATCACCCAGAACCCAAATATAAACCCCTTTTTAAAAAGAGAATAACAGCCATATTCAGTTTTCGATGCCAATAAAATAGAGGTTTATTTTGGTATATGGAAATAACAAGGTGCAAAAAGGTTTGCGAAAGACTTTAAGAGAGAGACTTCACTGGACTTCAAGGTCGGAGGCATTAAGATCTGTGGCCCTACAAATGATGGAGGCAGTCTTCAAATTCCTTAGGCACGATGAATAAATATCCTGAAGTCAAAGAGGTAGGGGGATGTTGGAGGGCAATTTGTCAATTTATTAGGAGATTGTCAATGAATTCATTTGGAAGGCAGGGAGTCTGGACAAAAGGTAGAATGAAAATACAGAATTTCTAAGGATGAGGCTTGCTTATGGGACACATGTTTGAAAAGAGAGCCCTCATCTGTAGGAAAGGAGGTAATAAGGAACTGGTGTGTTCATGGCAGAGCTTTAGCAGCAAGAGGAGGCGCAGCACAAGGGGCGGGGGCAGGTGGAGATGACACAGGTTGGGCGATAGCAAGTGGTGTGGCAGGAGACTCGGCCACAGACTGGACGCAGGCAGCAGCAGGGGCGGCAGCAGCTGGATTCACAGCAGCTGGGGCGGCAGCAGCTGGAGATGCAGCAGCTGGGGCGACAGCAGGTGGGCTGGCAGCACACAGACTGGCAGCACGGGGGTCTGCAGCAGCTGGACACACAGCAGCTGGGGCGGCAGCAAGTGGTCCTGCAGCAGGTGGGCTGGCAGCACACAGACTAGCAGCACTGGGGTCTGCAGCAGCTGGACACACAGCAGCTGGGGCGGCAGCAGCTGGAGATGCAGCAGCTGGGGCGGCAGCAGGTGGGCTGGCAGCACACAGACTGGCAGCACTGGGGTCTGCAGCAGCTGGACACACAGCAGCTGGGGCGGCAGCAGGTGGTCCTGCAGCAGGTGGTCTGGCAGCAGCTGGGGCGGCAGCAGGTCTCCAGTCCACAGCCCTGGTCAGAGCAGACGGAACCACAACAGGAGCTGACCATGGTGTCAGAGGGTGGAGGTTCTCGGTGGGTTTCTAGGAGAGTGAGTTTTCTGAGTTTGATCTCTCCTTGCTCTCTCTTTTGCTTTTTATACCCTGCTGAGAGCTACTATGACCATGTGAATAATCTTGTGGTTTGCACATTACTAATAGAGAATCAGCTCTTTTTCAGTAAATTAGATAGTTGTGCTTATCTGGTAAATATTTCTATAAATAGAAAAGGCACCATTTCCTTTTCCTGTTGTATTCTGAGCTATCCAATTTGGTTAAGCCAAGTGAATCAGCTCTCATTCTCCTTCCTTCATCTGATGTGTCTTCTGATGTGTAGACCCATTACATGACATTGTTTGATTGGATTCCATAAGTGTTAATTCTTTATTTATTTGACTCCTGGATAATAAGTTGAGAATAGATTTTATGATGACTAAATCTCCTCTGCTCTCAAAGAGGTTAAAAATAAATCACATAGAATGTGGGCAGGAAAATGGGATGAAAGATTTATGGGGTGATGGGAGGTAACTTTTGTATAATGAGGAACACTGTGATTCCTTTGAATTTTGTGACTAGTCAGTGAGATGGAAAAGATCCCACTGAGATTCCTGTCTGTTTCATGTTATTGAATCTATTCAGCTTGAAACAGATATACTGCAATGATTCATTGCTTTTAAAAGTAAAAACACGTCAGCATGATGGGTCCCTTTATAAATTATTATTGGCATGTTCTTCAAAGATGTGGATCATAGGGAACATTTCTGTTCTATTTTGTTGGTAAGTCAAGATACCCAATGAATATGTTTAACTGAAGTGTTATTGAAAGTATATTTTCTCGTACTCAAAAGCTGTTTTCTCTCACAATGTATGTTGGAGATATTTTGCCTGATACACGGAGAAATGAAATCAAGCTTTAATTTCTGTCCTACAGATGCTTAAACAAGACAAATAAGAAACATGTATAGGAAAGGGTTTAGCAACGATTTAGAGAATTGTGTGATTAGTGAACAAAATAACAATTACGTATTTAATCTGTGCACTCCCAGTGAAAGATGAAACAATACTAATAGTTCTAATTTGTTGAGTGCTTACTACGTGTCAGGAATTTTCTGAGTCCTCTATAATTGTTATCTTGCTTATACTTCACAAGGATTCTATGATGTAGACACACTTTTTCTGAATTCTTTACCTCCAAGGTACTTGAGGCCCAGATAGATTGAAGTCACACGGTCTATAATAGGGAAAGTGCGTCTCTCCTAGAGTGTTCAAGGAACATTTTGCACATGCACATTTTGCAATTAAATCCCTGCTGGTATTTAAAAACAATTATTTATAATTAAAAAGACGAATGGTATGTTCTCACTCCTAAGTGGGAGTTGAACAATGAGAGCACATGGACACAGGGAAGGGAACATCACACACCGGAACCTGTCAGGGGGTGGGGGACAAAGGTAGGGAGAGCATTAGGACAAATACCTAATGCATGCAGGGCTTAAAACCTAGATGACGGATTGATAGGTGCGGCATACCATCATGGCACATGTAAAACTATGTAACAAACCTGCACATTCTGCACATGTATTCCAGAACTTAAAGTAAAATTTTAAAAAAAAAGATGCATGATAAGAAACCATCATAAACAAGGTAAAAACACAAATGAGTAAATAATAAAAACAGACTCACAATATATATCACAGAAAAAGGGTTAATAATATGTAAAAGACTTCTGAGACCGGACACGGTGGCTCACACCTGTAATCCCAGCACTCTGGGATGCCAAGGTGGGCGGATTACTTGAGTTTAAGAGTTTGAGACCAACTTGGTTAACTTGGTCAAACCCCATCTCTACAAAAAAAAAAAAAAAAGAAGAAAAAAATTGGCGAGGTGGCATGCATCTGTGGTCCCAGCTACTCAGGAAGCTGAGGTGGGAAGATTGCTTGGGTCCAGGAGGTGGAGGTTGCAGTGAGCCAAAATTGCACCACTGCCCTCCAGTGTGGATGACAGAAGAAGAAGAAGGAAAAAAGACTTCTGAAAATAGATAGAAAACAGACCAACAGCCTAATGGGAAAATAAAATGCAAATATTTCACCACCATATAAATATACTCAATCTCATGCATTATAAGAGAAATGAGATAATATGGTATGACACTTCTCACCTGTTAGATTGTCAAAAATGCAAAATCTGACAGCATTCTCTGGAAGTGAGATGATGTGAAAATAGGCATGCTCGCATTTTTCTTGTGAAGGTTTGGCAATAACTAGCAGACTTATTCTTTGACTCAGCTATCCCAATTCCATAAAATATCTCAAAGATACTCAGGTAAATATATGAAAGATGTTGCACAAGATGATTCATAACAGTTCTATTTGGGAAAACAACTAAAACCTACAACAATACTGGATACAACCCGGGTGTCCTTCAATAGGGTACTGGTGAATAAACTGTGATGCCTTCCCATGGTGGAGTACTATGCAGCTGTCAAAAGGAATAAGGAGTGTCTCTATAGGCTGCTATAAATTAATTGCCAGTAGATATTGTTAAGAGACAATAAAGCAGTGGAGAAAAATGTGTACAATTGTTCTACAACAATATGTTTTAAAAATCCAGGATATAAATATTGAAAGCATATTTGCTTACACTTTAAAAAATGACAGAAGAATAGAGAGAGAGGAGATGAGAAAACAGGAAAGAGGGACTTCTGTCAAAACATCAAACTGTGCATTTTAAGTATATGTCAATTGTAACTTAATGTAGCTGAAAAACAAAGAAAAAAATAATGGAAGAATCAACCATATTTTGTTTTGTTGTTGTTGTTGTTGTTTGAGACGGAGTCTCACTTTGTCACCCAGGCTGGAGTGCAGTGGTGTGATCTCGGCTCACTGCAACCTCCACCTTCCGTGTTCAAGCAATTCTCCACCTCAGCCTCCTGTGTAACTGGATTACAGGCACCCACTACCACGCTTGGTTAATTTTTGTATTTTTAATAGAGATGGGGTTTCACCATCTTGGCCAGCCTGGTCTTGAACACCTGACTTTGTGATCCACCTACCTCAGCCTCGCAAAGTGTTGGGATTACAGGCATGAGCCACCACACACGGCCTCTATTTGTTTTTTAAAAGTTGACCCATAGAGGATGGAGGGAATAGAACAGAGAAGATAGAAACAGACACTAGATTATTTTTGAATGTATCTTTTACTGTAGCTTTGACTTTGCACCCATGTAAATATTTCACATATTTATAAAAATATTAAATTTTAAAAATCTCTCAAAATCACTAAAACCACCACAGCAACAATGGAATCTAACTGTATGTCCTGGCATAACTTCAGAGAAATTAACTATCCCAAGGCCAAAATGTTTTTTTCAAAAACCTGTTAAGTTTGTTTGCAATAACTATACTGTTGTTATTAGTATTGGCAATATTATTCCAAGATTGTTGTGCAAGCATTATGTAATAAAGAAAATGAGTAATTACACCAAGGAACTATTATTTTTGGCAAGGAAGAAGAGAGATTTGGGGAAAAGATATGAGGTTAAGTAAAATCCTGTAATTATCAGTAGAAACGCTGATATACTTTATTTTTTAAGTAATATTTTCTGGTTGGGGACACTGAAAAAGTTGAGAGAAAATAATCAATTTAGTAATACTCATCATTTTTACATTTCAGTCTTTGGTCCCAAATGCCATGTTCACTACAAGGGAACGGGGGTTCCTTGGAGAAATGGCTGAATATAAGTGTGGGTAAGGAAATACACAAATGAACCTGGAATATCTTATTATATACAAAACAAACAAATCTACTAGATTCACATCAAAAGTAGCCAGAGACCAACTTGAAGTTTGTTATTTGAGCACCAATGGGGATATGAACTGGAACTCACAGGTTCATACTGACAGAAATTAAAAAAAAAAAAATACTTTGGTCAACTTTGAATGATGGTACATTAGCAAGATTAAGCAAGAAAAGAGGATAAAAAATCTAAATAAACTCACTAAGAATTGAAACGGGAGCTATTACAACTGACACCACTGAAATACAAAAGATTATTCAAGGCTGCTATGAACACCTTTGCACACACAAACTAGAAAACCTAGAAGAGATGGATGAATTCCTGGGAAAATACAACCCTCCTAACTTCAGTTGGGAAGAATTAGCTACCCTGAACAGACCAATAACAACCAGTGAGATTGAATGGTAATTTAAAAATTACCAACAAAAGAAAGTCTAGGACCAGACAGATTCACAGCAGAATTCTACTAGACATTCAAAGAAGAATTGATACCAATCCTTTTGAGGCTATTCCACAAGATAGAGAAAGAAGGAATCCTCCTTAATTCATTCTATGAAGCCAGCATCACCCTTAATACCAAAACCAGAAAATGACACAACCAAAAAAGAAAACTACAGATCAATATCCTTGATGAACATAGATGCTAAAATCCTTAACAAAATACTAGCTAACTGAATCCAACAGCATATCAAAAAGATAATCCACCATAATCAAGTAGGTTTCATACCAGGGATGCAGGTATGGTTTAACATATGCAAGTCAATAAATGTGATACACCATACAAACAAAATTAAAAACAGCAATCACATGATCATCTCAACAGATTCAGAAAAAGCATTTGACAAAATCCAGCATCCTTTTATTATTGAACCCTCAGCAAAATTGGCATACAAGGGACATACCTTAACGTAAAAGTCATCTATGACAAACCCACAACCAACATAATACTGAATGGGGAAATGTTGAAAGTATTCCCTTTGAGAACGGGAACAAGACAAGGATGCCCACTCTCACCACTCTTCTTCAACATAGTCTGGAAGTCCTAGCCAGAGCAATCAGACAAGAGAAAGAAATAAAGGGCATCCAAATCAGTAAAGAGGAAGTCAAACTGTCCCTGTTTGCTGACGATATGGTTGTTTACCTTGAAAACTCTAAGGATTCCTCCAGAAAGCTCCTAGAACTGATGACAGAATTCAGCAAAATTTCCAGATACAAGA